ATCATTAAAAAAGAAAGTTTTATTAAGTATCCGCGAGTAAAAGAATTTCAACCAAAAAAGAAAGGAGAGCACTTTTTTTTTATTCCCGACGAAGTGCATATCCTACCTGGATCTTCTTCCATAATGGTACGGAACCTTAGTATCATTGGAATAGATACAAAAATAACCTTAAATAGAAGAACCCAAGTAAGTGGGTTGGTCAGGGTGGATAGAAAAGAAAAAACAATTGAACTTAAAATATTTTCTGGCGAGATATATTTTATTGGGGGCACAGATAAAATATCCCAATATAAACATGTTTTGATAGCACCTGTAACGGGAAAGCCAAATTACAATAAAACAAAAAAGATTAAAAATTTGATTTATGCCCAACGGATTACACCAAGTAATAAAAAGTATTTTGTCTTGATTCGACCTTGCATCAAATATGAAATAATAGACGATATCAGTTTGACAACACTCTTTAATCCCGATTTATTGCGGGAAAAGGATAATGTGCAACTTCGGGTTATAAAGTATATCCTTTATCTAACTGACAAACTAATTCAAGGAAATTATGACACAAGTATTCCATTAGTTCGGGCGTGTTTAGTTTATCATTGGAACCAAGATACAAAAAGTGATTCTAGTGAAGCAGTCCGCACTTCCGTTTATGAAATAAGAATAAAAAATTTGATTCGTCATTTCCTAAGAATTGACTTTGCGAACCCACCACTTTCGTATATCGCAAAAAGGAAGGATCCTTTGGGTTTAGGATTCTTTTCTAATAATGAATTAATTTGGACCACAAAAAATTATTTTTCCAAGACAAGGATTGACGAAACCCTTAACGAAAAAAAAGGAACTATTCATACATTTTGGAATCAAAAAAAGGAATGTAATTCCTTTATCATTTTGTCATCATCAAATTGTTTTCGAATGGACTTTTTAACGGTGTAAAAATCTCACAACGTCATAAAAGCCTCAATACAAAAGGATCCCCCAAGCCTTTATATTAATAATTATTTGGGTCCTTTAGGAACATACCTTCCAATTGTGAATTGTGATTCGTTAAATCGGTTATTAACTAATAATCTGAGTTTAGTCACTAATTATTTACAACTCGACAATATAAAACTGCTCTGTCAAGTATTCAATTTTAAATATTATTTCCTTGGGGAAAACAGGAAATTTTACAATTCTAATCCATGCAGTAACATTATTTTGAATGCATTTAGTTTGAATGTGTCTTTTCTTTACCAAAATCATTGGACAGCGACATCTAAAAGACTAAGTCTCGGACAGATTATTTGTAAAAATGTATATATAGAAAAAGAAATACCCGTTCTAAACTCGGGTCAAGTTATTCTTGTCAAACTTGACTCTGTAGTAATACGATCTGCTAAGCCTTATTTAGCTCCCCCAGGAGCAATTGTTCATGGCCTTTATGGAAAACCCCTTTTTGCCGGCGATACAGTAGTTGCTTTTAACTATGAAAAATCGAGATCCGGTGATATAACACAAGGCCTTCCAAAAGTAGAACAGGTATTAGAAGTGCGTTCGGTTGATTCCATATCAATGAATCTACAAAGAAGGTTTGTGGGTTGGGACAAATTTATAACCGGAATTCTTGGAATTCATTGGGGGTTTTTTATTAGTGCTGAGTTAACTATAGTGCAAAGTCGTATCTCTTTGATTCATAAGATCCAAAAAGTTTATCGATCCCAGGGGGTCCAGATTCATAATCGGCATATTGAAATTATTGTACGTCAAATAACATCAAAAGTTTTAGTTTCAGAAGATGGAATGTCTAATGTTTTTTCGCCTGGAGAACTTATTGAATTGTTGCGGGCAGAACGGATGGGGCGTGCTTTAGAAGAACCTATTTATTATCGAGCCATATTATTGGGAATAACAAAAGTATCTCTCCATACTCAAAGTTTCATATCGGAAGCGAGTTTTCAAGAAACTGCTCGGGTTTTAGCAAAAGCAGCTCTCGGGGGGCGGATCGATTGGTTGAAAGGCTTGAAAGAGAATGTTGTTTTGGGTGGGGTTATACCGGCCGGGACTGGATTCAGAGCATTAGTCCACCCCTCAAAACAATATAATAACAGTTATTTCCAAAAACAAAAAAACAATCTATTTAAGGCGGGGGTTCGAGATATTTTGTCTCCCCACAAAAAACCTTTTTAAATAGTTCCTTTCAAAAAAAACTCCGCAAGATATCACATAATTGATAGGATTTAGAAAGATTCCTAATAGCAAATTAATATCTTGTACGCTTTTTCAATCTCGCCGGTTTATTTAGCAATAGAAAAATAGAAAATAAGAATTATTGGGGCGTATATATTCTATATATATCGGCAATTTTAGTATTTTAGTATAATTTAGTATAGATGACTATAGAGGATAAGGTTCCGTTGGAACAAGTTTTTAATTCAATTCAAAATTCCTCGTTAATTTTTTTCTTCAACAGAATCTAAAATGGGGGGATCTATTTAAATGACAAAAAGATATTGGAACATCAATTTAGAAGAAATGATGCAGGCTGGAGTTCATTTGGGTCATGGTACTAGGAAATGGAATCCTAAAATGGCACCTTTTATTTTTACAAAGCGTAAAGATATTCATATTATAAATCTGATCGTAACTGCTCGTTTTTTATCGGAAGCTTGTGATTTGGTTTTTGATGCAGCAAATAGAGGAAAAAATTTTTTAATTGTGGGTACTAACAATAAAGCAGCTAATTTAGTAGCCCGAGCTTCCATAAAGGCCCGATGTCATTATGTTAATAAAAAATGGCTTGCCGGTATGTTAACGAATTGGTCCACCACAGAAACAAGACTTCAGAAGTTTAGGGACTTGAGAATGGAACAAAAAAAAGGGGGGTTCCATCATCTTCCAAAAAGAGATGCAACTGTGCTCAAAAGACAATTAGCTCGTTTCCAAAAATATCTGGGTGGAATTCAATATATGACAGGCTTACCCGATATTGTAATCATTATTGATCAGCACAAAGAATATATAGCCTTGCGAGAATGTATAACTTTAGGAATTCCAACAATTTGTTTAATCGATACTAATTGCGACCCCAATCTATCAGACATTTCAATTCCAGCAAATGATGACGCTATCTCTTCAATTCGATTGATTCTTAACAAATTAATATTTGCAATTTGTGAGGGCCGTTTTAGCTATATAAAAAATTCTTGATAAAGAAATTAAAAAATAACTAATAAAAAACTTACTTCAAAAATAACATAGATTCCTTTCATAAGTTAGATTTTTTGATTTGTTTCTATTATTCTATTAAAAAGGACAAGATCCAATTCAATTAGACAAATAGATTTTGGCATTAAAATAATTAAGGGGGTAATATGAATCTTTTTTTTTTTTCTAGCAATTACCCCATGGGGTTATACGAGATATCTGGTGTAGAAGTGGGTCAACATTTATATTGGCAAATAGGGAATTTCCAAGTACACGGCCAAGTACTTATCACTTCTTGGGTTGTAATTGGTATCTTAGTTGGTTCTGCTACTCTAGCTGTTCGCAACCCACAAATCATTCCTAATGGGGGTCAGAATTTATTTGAATATGTTCTTGAATTCATTCGAGATGTGAGTAAAACTCAAATTGGAGAAGAGTATGGCCCTTGGGTTCCTTTTATTGGTACGATGTTTTTATTTATTTTTGTTTCTAATTGGTCCGGGGCTCTTTTACCTTGGAAACTACTTAGATTACCTCATGGGGAGTTAGCCGCACCCACGAATGATATAAATACTACTGTGGCTTTGGCTTTAATTACGTCAGCGGCATACTTCTATGCGGGTATTTCAAAAAAAGGATTAGGTTATTTCGCTAAATATATAAAACCGACTCCGATCCTTTTACCGATTAACATCTTAGAAGATTTTACAAAGCCTTTATCACTTAGTTTTAGGCTTTTCGGTAATATTTTAGCTGATGAATTAGTAGTTGTTGTTCTTGTTTCTTTAGTCCCTTCAGCAATTCCGATACCCGTCATGCTTCTTGGATTATTTACAAGTGGTATTCAAGCTCTTATTTTTGCAACCCTAGCCGCGGCGTATATAGGTGAATCCATAGGGGATCATCATTAATATTAATTACTTTGAAAATGGATAAAATGAACTAATGGCTAATGAGGGCCTAATTGATTCATTATATCATTAACGATTTCTTTTTTTGTTACGTTTTGTTACGAGGAATTACTAATGAATCCACTTATTTCTGCCGCTTCCGTTATTGCTGCTGGCTTGGCCGTAGGACTTGCTTCTATTGGACCCGGAATTGGTCAAGGGACCGCCGCGGGTCAAGCTGTAGAGGGATCGCGAGACAGCCTGAGGCGGAGGGAAAAATCCGGGGCACTCTATTGCTTAGTCTAGCTTTTATGGAAGCTTTAACAATTTATGGATTGGTTGTTGCATTAGCACTTTTATTTGCGAATCCTTTTGTTTAATTTAGAATGGTAAGACTAATAAAGAGACTCTTGAGGCTTTTTTTTTTTTCAAATTCTATTAAAAATGCCTCTTGGTATTACTTTATTGGTTGAGAAAAAAACCTTATGATACACACGAAATAATAATACTTATTCTATTTTAATTGCTTTCATCCTTTTCACTCGTAGTTTACTCGTAGTTTAAGGTTACTTTTTTTAGTGAGGCTTAGTAGATCCGCAAAATACACTAAAATAGAATGTGTATTTAATCTTATTTAATATTTAATTAAGAAGTTCTAAAGATTTATTTATTATTTATTTCATAAATTGAATAAAATAGAAATAAAAAACAAAGTGAAGTAAAGAGTGTTGTTTTATTTTAGTCTATACTATAAAAGAGGAGAATTTATGAAAAGCGTAACCGATTCTTTCCTTTCTTTGGGCCACTGGTCATCTGTTGGGAGTTTCGGGTGGAATACCGATATTTTAGCAACAAATCTAATAAATCTAAGTGTAGTTCTTGGAGTATTGGTCTTTTTTGGAAAGGGAGTGTGTGCGAGTTGTTTATTTCAGGAATAGGCTGGACTAACCAGCTGTACTCTTACTCTTTATTTTTATGAAAACTCGGAGAAAGAGGTGCATTATCTCGCGAATTACTTCTGAATAAATAAATTCTCTGTAAGAACCATAGCATTTCGTCATTTACTGGTAAATCAACTTTGATTCTCTCTCACCCAAGACTATGATACTATGAACATGGTTAAAAAATCATTTGAAGTCAAGGCACTATATGGTACTCTTTCTATCACTATGTTCATTATAGAGATATTTTCAAAAATAATATTTGATCAATAGAGGATGCTCATATTGATTAAACTAAAGGAACCCCTTAATCTTTATTTTTTAATTTTTTCACAAAGAAGGGAAATTTCCCCTGTTTATCCAAATCCAATGCTAAATTGACGGCCTGTGTTTATAAATAAGTAATAAAATCTTTTGAAAAAAAAAATAACTTTGCTGACAATTACCGATTTTTTGGTTGTTTTGTTAGAAGAGTCCTCATCTGTTTGGAATATTAACAAAGATAAAGAAGAAGGAAGAGAGGATAAGCTCAATGGAGTAATAAAGAACCAAAAAAACATATCATAATTCTTATGAAGTTTGATTTGAAGGAATTGAGCTTGAGAGCCAAATGAATTGAAAGATTCATGTTTGGTTCGGGAAGGGGTTTTTCTGTTTTGAAATCAAAGCAAAAAAAAATCTACTTTCATTAAGTGATTTATTAGATAACCGAAAAAATAGGATCTTAAATACTATTCAGAATTCAGAAGAACTTGCGTGGGAGGTCTATTGAAAAACTAGAAAAAGCCCAAGCTCATTTATCTAAAGTAGAAAGGCATAAGCCGAGGAGTTTCGACTGAATGGATACTCTGAAATAAAACGAGAAAATTTGAATTTGCTTAATTCAACTTCTAATATTTTAGAACAATTTGAAAATGATAAAAATGAAACTATCTATTTGAACAGGAAAGAGCTATTCATCAAGTAAAACAACAGGTTTTCCAACAAGCCTTACAAAGAGCTCTAGAAACTCTGACTTAGTTGTTTGAACACCGAGTTGCATTTACGTACTATTAGTACCAATATCCGCATGTTGAGCAACACTTCAAGAAATAAAAGATTAGTCTTTAATTTTCTAGCGGAGGTATTATTTTTTTTTATAAGAATAATTTAAGAACGAATCATGGGAACGATCCCAAGCCGATGAAATTAGGAATATTATTCGTGAGCGTATTGAAAAATATAATAGAGAGATAAAGATTGTCAATACTGGTACCGTTCCTTCAAGTAGGCGATGGCATTATTCGTATTCATGGTCTTGGTGAAGTAATGCAGGGGAATTAGTAGAATTTGAAGAGGGTACAATTGGCATTGCTCTCAATTTGGAATCCACCAATGTTGGTGTTGTATTAATGGGTGACGGATTGATGATACAAGAAGGAAGTTCTGTAAAATCAACAGGAAGAATTGCTCAGATACCAGTGGGTGAAGCCTATTTGGGTCGTGTTATAAATGCCCTGTCAAATCCTATTGATGGGAGGGGCGAAATTTCATCTTCTGGATTTAGATTAATTGAATCCCCCGCTCCAGGGATTATTTCGCGTCGTTCCATATATGAGCCTCTTCAAACTGGACTCATTGCTATCGATTCAATGATCCCTATAGGCCGTGGTCAGCGAGAATTAATTATTGGAGACAGACAAACTGGTAAAACAGCAGTAGCTACGGATACGATTCTAAATCAACAGGGTCAAAATGTATATGTGTTTATGTAGCTATTGGTCAAAAAGCATCTTTCTGTGGCTCAGGTAGTAACTACCTTACAAGAAAAGGGAGCCATGGAATATACTATTGTGGTAGCCGAAATGGCGGATTCCCCTGCTACACTTCAATACCTCGCTCCTTATACAGGAGCAGCTATAGCTGAATATTTTATGTATCGTGAAAAACACACTTAATCATTTATGATGATCTCTCCAAACAAGCCCAAGCTTATCGCCAAATGTCTCTTCTATTACGTAGACCACCTGGTCGCGAAGCTTACCCATGGAGATGTCTTTTATTTGCACTCACGTCTTTTAGAAAGAGCCGCTAAATTAAGTTCTAAGTTAGGGGAGGGCAGTATGACTGCTTTACCTATAGTAGAAACGCAATCGGGAGATGTTTCTGCTTATATCCCCTACTAATGTAATTTCTATTACTGATGGACAAATATTCTTATCCGCCGATCTATTTAATGCTGGAATAAGACCTGCTATTAATGTGGGTATCTCTGTTTCCCGAGTGGGGTCTGCAGCTCAAATTAAAGCCATGAAAAAGGTTAGCTGGTAAATTTAAATTAGAACTCGCCCCAATTCGCTGAATTAGAAGCCTTTGCCCAATTTGCTTCTGATCTTGATCGAGCTAGTCAAAATCAATTAGCAAGAGGTCAACGATTGCGCGAATTGCTTAAACAATCCCAATCCGCTCCTCTGACGGCGGCAGAGCAAATTATTACGTATTTATGCTGGAATAAATGGGTATCTTGATTCATTAGAACTTGGACAGATCAGCAAATTTCTTATTGAGTTATATACTTACTTCAAAACTAATAAACCTCAGTTCCAAGAAATCATATCGTCTACCAATACATTTACCGATGAAGCAGAAGCCCTTTTGAAAAAAGCTATTCCGGACCAAAAGGATCGGTTTCTACTTCAAGAAAAACTTTAAATAAGTACTTCAATCAAAAAATTCAAACACAATAGAAAGATATGGAAAAATTGCGCCCAATAGGATTTGAACCTATACCAAAGGTTTAGAAGACCTATGTCCTATCCATTAGACAATGGACGCTTTTGGTGCTTCTTTTTTGCGTCTTACCCCCTCAAAATTATTTGTAACAATAAATAATTAGATCGGATTCCTAGGTGATCTTTTTTATGTCTATTCCTATTCCCCCTTTAAAAATATTCTCATTAATGAGCATCTCCAAATAAATCCTTTCAAATAATAATCAAATAATAATTTTTTTATTCCATTTTTATTCAATATGAAATTCAAAATGATTTTCTACTTCCTTAGAAAACAACGCCCGTTGAGTAAGGACCGGGCCGTGCGAACAAGAATAGCCTTTTTCAACATTTAAATAATTGAGTAAAAAATCAAACAAAACATCTTATAACTCTTAATTAGATTTTTATAAAATAATATAATAAAAATATTAAATAATAGATTGAAAAGCATAATCAAAATAAAAAAAATTACTTAGTTCTATGTTTATTATAAAATAAGAATTCTCTAAATAAAATTTGGAGAGATGGCTGAGTGGACGAAAGCGTCGGATTGCTAATCCGGTGTACGAGTTTTTCGTACCGAGGGTTCGAATCCCTCTCTTTCCATTTTTGTGGATCGTATTATTTCTTTTTTTTTTTTTTTTTATTTGCAAATTCGTTTTATTTTATTCTTCACGTCCAGGATTACGCCTTGGATCATTAGATAGGAACCCAAAGATAAATAGAGAAACAAAAAAGATGACTACTGTGTATACGAAGAGTTTGAGAGTAAGCATTACAAACCTCCAATATTTTTTATTGAAAAAAAAATAAATAGAATATATTTTCTATTTTGAGACCACATAGGTACTATAAGGTACCAAGAAAGAAAGTTGAAATAGAGTTAATTTTCTAAGAAAAAAATTTCATAAATCAAATTGAAATAAGAGTTTACCAAATTAAATATGGGAATGGTCCTAATCCTAGTAGAGTCTTTTACTATAAAAAAAAGCTTTAAAAAGCAAGGAAGTTCTTATTCTTATTTTACTCAATTTGTTTAATTAAGTATTTCATCGAAAACTAACAACAGCCTGCCAAACAAAAGCTAAAAGAAAAAAAAGAACAGGTATTATTATGGCATAAAATCGACGATTGGATTCAAAAAAGCATAAGATTCGGGCAATTTGCCGAATAAAAAACTACTTGAATAGAAGACAGAATTAAGACAGATAAAACTAAGCATAAAAGACATGTTTTTTTTGATAATGAATTATTAAGATATGATTTTTAATAAAATTAATATAAAAACATTATATTGAATTCGTAGGGCGGGCGCAAAATATTGATTCCTCTTTTTAATTGAACCCTTCACAATGACTAGAAATATTTCAATATTTATAATACACTATAATAGAATATAGACAATATAATAATATACAAAAGAAATAAATTAACACATAAAAAAAACCAGAACCATAGAATCAAATTGATATCCATTTTAAATTCAATAGACAAAAATAAAATGGTTATTTAATTTTTGAAGTGTTTGAAGTGGGGCGTGGCCAAGTGGTAAGGCAACGGGTTTTGGTCCCGGAATTCGGAGGTTCGAATCCTTCCGTCCCAAATCTTTTTGATCTTATTATTTCTATCGAATAGAAATAGGTCTATTGAGATAGAAATAATAGAGAGAAAATAATCTATCTACTAAATAAAATATATAGAAAACCTAAAAGGATAGTATGTTTAAGAGACAACTCAAACCAATACTAGAACCTATGACTATTAAAGATTCCCTGATTTAATCAAGTACATATTGGTTCCAAATTCTAAGAAAGAATATTATGGTCCAACGTGGTTTGCAACGATGTGGTATAAATCTACATGTCACTTTAAAGATGAAAACCAAGATCCGTTATCTTGTTACATCCACCATTTTTTTTTATAAATAAAAATAATAGGTTATTGGCTTTATAGCAGTGAATTTTGTTCCATATGATCTAAATAATGCTATTTTGTAATAGAAAGAGATTTTGATGTATATAGTTTATATAGTTATAGTTATGGTTTTTTGTATAAAAAAAGGAGGAACTTAAAATAGATTTACAACTAGAGAGATCGAAAGAACAGAATTTCCTTTATCCACTTTTATTCAGGAGTATATTTATGTCCTTGTTCATGATCGTGCTTTAAGTGGTTTAAAAAGGGTCAATTTCTGCTGAAAATATAGTATATAAAAAAAAATTTAGTTTTCAAATTGTGAAAACGCTTAATTACTCAAATGTATCAACAGATACAGCTCACTAATTGTTATTATAAAAAAAGTCAAATTTTTAGAACCAGCAAGTTGTTCTATTGTAACCAGTTAGCTGAGGTTTTTGCTTTTATTTTGGAAATTCCGTCTTATTTAAGATTCATATCAGAGCGCAAAAAAAAAAAACTCTTAAAATCTAATAATTTACGTTTACGGTCAATTCATTCCATATTTCCATTTTTTGAAGACAATTTATCACATTTAAATTTGGTATTAGATCTACTAATTCCCTCCCCCCTCATCTGGAAATCGTGGTTCAAATAATTCGGTATTGGGTCAAAGAGGCTTCTTCTTTACATTTATTACGCTTCTTTCTATATGAGTTTTACAATTTTCAAAATTTGAATACTCCCAATAGGTCCCATTACATTTTGACAAAAAGACCTGAGCGGCTTTTCTTCTTTTTATATAACTCTTATTTATATGAATATGAATCCGTTTTTGTCTTCTCCGCAACCAGTCTCTTCATTTAAAAGCAATCAGTTTTCGAGCACTTTTGGAAAGGAATCTTTTCTATGGAAAAATCGAATGCCTTTTAGAAGTATTTAATGAGGATTTTTCTGCAAGTATCCGTTTGTTTAAAGGCTCCGGATCTTTCAATGCATTATGGTAGGTATAGGGGAAAGTCAATTATGGCATCAAAAGAAACGTTTCTTTTGATATCAAAATGGAACTATTATATTGTAAAATTTTGGGAATCTTATTTTTCTCTTTGGTTCCATACTGGAAGAATAAATAGAAATCAATTATCCATCCATTCTTTTCATTTATGGATTATCTTTCAAGTATTGTAGTAATCCCTTCAATAATACGAAGTCAAATGTTAAAGAATTCATTTTTAATAAAAAATGCTATTCATCAATTTGATACTGTTGTTCCAATTATTCCTATCCTTAGATCCCTAGCTAAAGCTAAATTTTGTAATGTACTTGGGAATCCCATTAGTAAACCGGGTTGGACCGACTTCTCAGATTCTGAGATTATTAAAAGGTTTGGGCGGATATGTCGAAATTTTATTCATTATTTATAGTGGTTCTTCCAAAAAAACCAGTTTGTATCAAATAAAGTATATACCTTAGGCTTTCTTGTGCTCGAACTCTAGCTCGGAAACACAAAAGTACTGTACGCCGATTTTTTAAAAAGCTTGGGCTCGGAATTTTTAGAAGAATTTTTTACATCGGAAGAACAAATTTTTTAATTTCACGTTTTCAAAGGCTTCTTCAAATTTGAGGGCGAGTTTATAAAAGGCGGATTTGGTATTTTGATATTGTTTGTATCGAAGAGCATATTAATTTTTAAAAATTCATGCATCTTGTCAAATTCAAATTTTTACCAAATTATAAAATTATTAATAGAGGCAAAAAGTTTTATTTTTCCATTTGATCGTAAATCTTTCTTAAAAAGTCTAATTAAAGGGTAAGCTAGTTTTAACTTTTTTAAAATTGACTACAGATAATTTATATATAATTTATATATATATATAGGAACGCTTATTCACAAAAATATTAAAAAAAAAATATATTCTTTACTCGAAACTAACAAGTTCCAGATTGTAATTATGAGTACCAAATCGTCATACTTAAATTAAATGGAGAAAATTTGCTTGACTTAAAAAAAGGGGGCGGAATCAAATTAGATAGCTCTATTGGTTGACACGAATATCTAAGTCGTGTTATACTGTTGAATAACAAGCCTTTAATTTATTCTATTTTTTTTTATTTCGTGTGCTTGGGAGTCCCTGATTATAAAATCAACCAAGAATTGATCATGACTGCAGTTTTAGAGAGACGCGAAACCCAAAGCTTATGGGGTCGTTTCTGTAATTGGATAACTAGCACTGAAAATCGTCTTTACATTGGATGGGTTTGGTGTTTTGATGATCCCCGACTTTATTGACCGCACTTCTACTTTTCGTGTATTTATATTATTGCCTTCATTGCTGCTCCACCAGTAGATATTGATGGTATTCGTGAACCTGTTTCTGGATCTCTGCTTTACGGAAACAATATTATTTCAGGTGCCATTATTCCAACTTCTGCAGCTATAGGATTACATTTTTACCCAATAAGGGAAGCGGCATCCATTGATGAATGGTTATATAATGGGGGTCCTTATGAACTAATTGTTCTACACTTCTTACTTGGTGTAGCTTCTTAATATGGGGCGTGAGTGGGAACTTAGTTTTCGTCTGGGTATGCGCCCTTGGATTGCGGTTGCATACTCCGCTCCGGTTGCAGCTGCTACCGCAGTTTTCTTAATCTATCCAATTGGTCAGGGAAGTTTTTCTGATGGTATGCCCTAGGAATCTCTGGGACTTTCAATTTCATGATTGTATTTCAGGCTGAGCACAATATTCTTATGCACCCATTTCATATGTTAGGCGTAGCTGGTGTATTTGGCGGTTCCCTATTCAGTGCTATGCATGGTTCCTTGGTAACTTTCTAGTTTGATCAGGGAAATCCACAGAAAATGAATCGGCTAATGAAGGTTACCGATTCGGCCAAGAGGAA